TGGAAGTAGAAGGGCTTCCCGTTGATGAGGAACTGCGTGCTGGTGACGTGCACGGTGCGGATGCCGACCGGGAGCGTGTAGACGTCCTCCAGCAGCGCCCCGTTCGCCTGCGCCTGCAGTTTTACCTGCGTCCCCAAGGGAAACGCGGGCGGCGGCGTTGGTGGCCTGTGCGAGCCCGGAGGACGCCTCGGCCTCCCTCGGGCTCGCTCCTAAGGGCTGCCCTGACCTTCCGGCCATTTCCCGGCCCTGCCTTGGCCACCTTGCTGCTTCTTGTCCCCATGTAACTCCTTAGGGAAGGAGCAAGAATAGGTACAGAAAGTAGAAACCCAAGCTGGGGAGATTGAAGGGTAAGGAATGAGGGCTGGACAACCCTTCTGCGACTTGTTCATCCCAAGAGCCCCCGTCTCTCTTCACCTTTCTCACTGGCCCTTTCATCACTGCTGGCCAGGCAGAGGTGACACCTCCTCTTCTCCCCTGCACCTTGATACCAGCCAACTGAGAAGTCGCCTACTCACAGGCGATGTGAACCTGAGCCTTTGCAGACTCACAGCAGGTGATCTGCCCTAATTTCTGCATCTAAGCATCATTGTTCAAGCTTGACTCGCACAACAGTTCTGCAGGCTTGCGCTATTGAAGCTGAATCCTTGTCTTGCACAGAGTGGGAAGAAAGCTCACTGCATGGCAGAGTATGTGAAAGAGATTAGCAGCGGGCTCCTCAGAGGCTCTACCCTCAGCTTTTGTGCTATCTCTTCCCACGTATTGCCTCAACCAGTCCTTCTGCAAGAGATGGATCAGGCCCTAAACGTGACAGGTAAGCATCTGATAGAGCGTGTGCGTGCATGCCTGCGTGTACCCATGCATGACCCCCCCTCTTCTTCTCCCTGATGGACCTTTCAGTTCAGCACACAGGGAAGCTGGCAAAGCTTGATCTGATTACAGCATGATCAGCAATGCCATTCTGGTCATGTGAACAGGATCCGTGGGAGAAGGAGAGGAAGGAAGGTGGGCCATCTGGCAGTTCCTAATCTCTATTAGGACAATGAGAGGAAATGCACACAAAGGGAGAAATGTCATTGTTACCTCTAAAGAATAGCGGTATCCAGGGTTCTCATGCATCAGGTAAGGCCACCAAAGATTTGGATCCAGGACTTTTAACTCTCCATCTGGCCCATCACCTGTAGCAACCACTTTTCCCTCTTGATCACGTAAACTCAGGGACAAGGAGTAGAGTGCGCTGCCGACTACTGATACCTGATACTGCACTATGGCTAGTTCAAAGACAACAAGAGAGGGTCAGAAACTGGTATGAAGGAAAAACAAATGCTTAAAAGCTTGCAGGGTCTTCACATACAGCAGCATTAAAAAGGAAGGGAGAAGTACAGCAACAGTAGAGAGGCACAGATTGTTTGTATGAAGAATGACCTGTCTGTCCTGAGGCCCAGAAGTTTCCAGGAGGATTTGCATGTCACATAATTCTGTTACTTAGAGATAATCCTGCTTTAAGTGGCAAGAGGACTGTCCATAGTGGGAAATTCTACTTCCAGAAGCATCTGAACATCCTTTCACATAACTGTAGTGTCTTTCCAGAGCTTCTACTTTTTCCCACTACTTTGGAAATCTTTACTGTATTCTTAAAACTGCTAAGCTGCGCAATACAGCAGCTGAGGCTAAAAGAGAAAGCTGCTACAAGACAAATTCAATCTGACTGAAAAGTCCTTTGCAGGAAATTTTCTCTACTGCTCTTGTCATCTCCATTTTGGAGCCTGAGATAGCTGCTGTAATTGTTCTGGACCTACCAGCGCTCTCTGATGAAGTAGTTGTCACAGTAATATCATCTATGTAGACAGAAGGAGTGGTGTAAAGCACGACCGGGCGATGGATTCCAGCATAGTTAAAGAAATCAAACCTGATGTTCTGTACAAAATAGTTCTTGGGGTACCTGAGGGAGCAAGACAGGAGACATTATGTTCCATTACACAAGAACTGAAGGCAGTATACGGATGCTAGCAACGTGCTGGCAAAATAGTCTTCACAACAGGATGGATTTATCCTTTAGCAGTGCTACTGATGCTATGGTGATTACCAGTTAATGAACATCTAATGCACTGAACAGGGCTGATGAATCCTTCAGAGTAGCAGATACCTGCAGTTCCAGGTAAATTCAAGTGTCTTAATCTGCCACCGACTCAGCTTGGCAAATCACTTAATTTCAGTTCCCCGTGTATAAAATAGATGCGATAATTCAGTGTAGATTTATCATAACATTGAACTCCTTACTTAAACTCCTCCCTGCTTGACTGATGAACACAGTCATAAATACAACCCACTCTTTTGTAAATTACTTGGAGGCTCTTAAGAAACAGCAGCCGAATAAATTCCCATTCTGCTATCCCTTCGAAAACATCAGCGGTACAGCATTCTAGCAACTCACTTTGATATGTCATTCATGTACTGAATTGACCCTGGAGGCAGTGTGTGGGGTGTCAGAGTGTTGTTGATCGCGACAGTGATGCGGCAGGGAATCCCTGGGCTGCCCTGGACAACACTGCTTATATCTGCTTCAAAAGGGAGGTGGCCCCCTTCGTGCTCTGCAACTTGGACTCCATTGACCCACTGCAAGAGAAGAGGCCCGTGAGTCCAAGAGGCAAGGTTAGGTTTCCACGGAAAGTATAGCAGGGAGAAGGGAAGGAGCACAGCAAAAGGCAGTCGGGATTCCCACTAACACTCAACCTTGTTCAGGGCTCTTAATTCTGAGGGCTCAGTCCAGCAGCCCTTCTTTTACTGGGAGCTGGGCCGGGGTCACATGCAAGCATCACTGTGAGAAACTAAGTGTTATGGGCAGGTCAGCACCTTGTCCCCTCCAGGCCTGTAACAAGAAAATGTTTTAGTTGCTAGTCCCGACCTTGGCAGATCACACAAGACAGACCTGGGAAACATGGTCAAGCTCTTGTCCCAAATTCTCCTCACTTCAGAAGGACAAGGACTCAAGTCCTCCCCTCCTCCGTTCCAGGCAGCTGCAACTGGCAGTGGCCAGGAGGAAAATGGCTGAGAGTCAAGAGAACAGCAACCTGGTATAAAAACCTAAGCAGAGCCATGTTTACTGAACAGGCCACGGGGTAGATTTTAGTGCGGTATGAGCTTGGAAACGCCTGCACCACTGCCGTACCACGATGCAACGTACCACGATGGAGTAGTAATGGGCACTACCGAAGCGGAGCACCACTCTGGTGTTGAGGTCCTCCTGAAGCCAACGGCGAGGAAGCAGCACCTCTTTTTCATACCAAACCCAGCCAATGTAGTTCTCCAGGTTGGGGTCTTGGGTGATATCGTTGAAGCTGGCAGGCACTGGCATGTCGATTACAGGACCGGTCTGATGGGAATTGCACAGAAAGGGAGGAAACAGGTAATTTTAAGAAGATGTTCAGCTTGACAGAAGTTTTACTGACGTGGCTGTCCCACTTACACTTGAACCTGAGAACTGAAAAAACATGGCCAGATTGTTGTTCAGTCTGAAGCTACTCACAAAACGTAGTTTCTCTTGCACAGCTCCAGCTGTTTAGAGCGTAACGCTGGTGTTGCTGTGCCAGTTCACTGGCAGGGGGTGCTGCTCGTCACTCGAAGTTGTAGCAGAACTGGTGGCAAGAGCCTGGGGATATTCTGGGCCAGATCACCCCATAATGTCTGTGGAGGCTTTGCATCTATTTACACAGGATGGGTCTGGCTTTCTCACTCCCGGAAAGCAACATAGATTTCCTGGGGTTTTTTAACTGCTTTCCAACAGTGTCGATTCAGTTGCTTTTTTTAAACATAAGGATCATATGCCAGCAGTGTTGTAATCCATTATAACATTTTGGTCGCCATATATTATTGCAAAATATAGCTGTTAACTTTTGGCACCTTCAGTGCTTGTGATGTTGCATAAATGAACACTGCAGCAACTCGCATCTGGAACACTTCCCCTTTCTTAAGCAAGTCTTTCCGTGAACAGTGGAACTAGGAAAGTCTGGGTGTCCAGGGATGAGCATCATGTGCGTGGCTGACTCAGCACTGAGTTGTACTGATGCTGCAGAGAGAATTCAGCTCCTTTATTAGACATCAGAAAAGCCTAAAAGCAAAGAACCTTTGATGGTGAAGTGGATTTTCTAGCCTCTGATACTGGGATGCCCATAACGTGGGTCTCCTTTAAGAAGATTCTCTGGTGTCTAAAGCAGGTAGAGCTTACACTTCCCACCCTCCCTTTAATGGGGGCCATGTCTAGGATCCTTCTCCTCTGTTTATTTTCACATCTATTTTCACAAAATTTCTAGCAGCTTTGTATCCTGGAGCTCTTGTCTCCTTCGACAATGTGGCAAAATTGGCCCAGGAGCGAAAAGAGAAGTGATGGACACACGTATACGGACACACGTATGGACACACGCAGAACACTTAACTTACTTCTTTCTTTTAGCAAACGGGGTTAATTTGAAGCACTTTAAAATTGCACTAGAGTTTGTTTTGTCAGTGTCTAGTTCCCGTGGAATCGACTGACCAGAACGGATTTAACGTGCTGCGAGCTCAAGGTTTGCTCTGCCAAGGCAAGGATTTCCTTCGCTGCACGGCGCGGAGCGCCGGGGCTGCCGCGGGAGGCCGGCAGAGCTTCGGCCGTTTCTGCGGGCCTCCGACCTCCGTCGTAACCTAGTCCGCCGGTAACTGCCCGTGCCCTACTCTACTCCCAGACTTCTGCCCCACTTAAACGCGCCCGTCGCTCATTCAGACACTTTCTCGCTGCTGCCACCTCCCACCCGGTAACGCCAGTCCCCACC